TTGGTCTGGAAAATACGCTCCAGTTCCTCCAGCTGCCACTGGGTGAATCTGTGGCGTAGGCGACGTCGAGGCACTGGCCTTGGCACAGACTGGACTCTCTCACCCTCCATACCCTCAGGAATCAGCTCCTTTGGTTGCTGCTCACTCTCCTGGCCTCCTCCAGCTCCACCATCTTCCTGGTTCATGTCGTCATCTACCAGGCCTGCAGCTCCAGCAGCAGTGTGGCCTCCTTCTCCACTTAATTCCTTTTCTCTTTCCCCTTCTGCCGCTGTGGCTCTCCACCCTGGCTCACGCTTTCCACTCTCTTTCTCATTTCTTCCCTCTTTAGCTGGTAAAACCTTCGAACCTGGGAGTGGGGAAACAAGAAGTTGAGGCACCTGGGAAAGGGCCCAGTGTAGGTGTGAAATTGCAGCGAAGCCGGAAGTGTGTGGAACCGTTACTCTTATGGAGATTGTTAAACCACCATTCCCAACTGATTACTGACCATTTCCTCCTATTCCCTCATCCTTATCAACTCCAAGACTGAACAAGTAGTTGATCTTGTAACACTCTATACCTTGGATGCTGTTCATTTTTGTTCTACATCTGTAGGCTGAGCTGTTACCTCTTCTAGTTCCGTTATAGAGTAGAACTGTGACCCTTGACCTGGAAGAGATTTCTTCCAGCCTACCCCCCATTACTATGTGTCCAGTTATAGAAGTAGTGTCCTGGCTTCATACCCATTACCTGTTGCTGTGTATTGGGCCCTGAAGTGCCCAAATGAGAGCAGTTTGATGCTTCAACCAGCAGGATGTGTTTGTAGGGAGGGCAAAGTTCCTGGGCAAGTAGAGATACTGAAATGGCTTTTTTTAACAGGTAGCGAGAACATTACATTTTTATTTTGCATGACATTGTGACAAGACATCGTTGCCTATGAAGTTTACTCTTTTTTATTATTAAGCAATTTTCTATTTATGTTACATACCAACCACAGATCCCTCTCTCCTCCCTCCTCCTGCTTTCCAACCCCACCCCCATTCCCACCTCCTCCAAGGCAAGGTCTCCCATGGGGAGTCAGCAGAGCCTGGTACATTCAGTTGAGGCAGGTCCAAGCCCCTCCCCCCTGCACCATGGCTGTGTGAGGTGTCCCACCATAGGCACTGGGCTCCAAAAAGCCCACTCATGCACCAGTGACAGATCCCAATCCTACTGCCTGGGGGGCCCCTAACAAGTTCAAGCTAAACAACTGTCTCTCCTATCCAGAGGGCCTAGTCCAGTACCATGGGAGCTCCTCAACTATTGGTCCACAGTTCATGTGTTTCCACTAGCTTGGCTAGTTGTCTCTGTACTTTTTTCAGTCATAGTCTCAATATCCCTTGTTCATAGAATCTCTCCTGGACTCAACTGGACTCCTGGAGCTTGGCCTGTCGCCCGGCCGTGGATCTCTGCATCTGCTTCCATCAGTCACTGGATGAAGGCTCTACGATGACAGTTAGGGTATTCACTGATCTGATTACCAGAGTAGGCCAGTTCAGGCACCCTCTCCACTATTGCTAGTAGTGTAAGCTGGGGTCATCCTTGTGGATTCCTGGGAATTTCCTTAGCACCCTATTTCTCCCTATCCCATTATGTCTTCATTTATCATGGTATCTCTTTCCTTGCTCTTCCACTCTGTCCCTGTTCCAGCTCAAACCTCCTGTTCCCCTATGTTCTTATCCCCCATCCCTTGCCCTCCATTACCCCCCTCACCCCCAGTTTGCTCATGTAGATCTTATCTATTTCTTCTTTGCTGGGCAATCTATGTGTCCTTCTTGGGGTCCTCCTTGTTAGCTATCTTCTCTGGAGCTGTGGATTGTAGTCTAGTTATCCTTTGCTTTACATCTAGTATCCACTTATGAGTGAGTACATACCATGTTTGTCTTTCTGATTCTGGGTTACTTCACTCAGGATGATATTTTCTAGTTTCATCCATTTGCCTGCAAATTTCATTGTTTTTACTGCTGAGTACTACTCCATTGTATAAATGTCCCACATTTTCTTTATCCATTCTTCAGTTGAGGGGCATCTAGGTTGTTTCCAGGTTCTCGCTATTACAAATAATGCTGCTATGAACATAGTTGAGCATGTGTCCTTGCGGTATGATTGAGCATTCCTTGGGTATATGTCCAAGAGTGGTATAGCTGGATCTTTGGGGAGATTGATTCCCAATTTTCTGAGAAACCACCATACTGATTTCCAGAGTGGCTGTACAAGTTTGCACTCACACCAACAGTGGAGGAGTGTTCTCCTTGCTCCACTTCCTTTCCAACACAAGCTGTCTTGAGTGTTTTTAATCTTAGCCATTCTGACAGGTGTAAGATGGTATTTCAGAGTTGTTTTGATTTGCACTTCCCTGATGACTAAGGTTGTTGAGTAATTACTTAAATGTCTTTTGGCCATTTGAGATTCTTTTGTTGAGAATTCTCTGTTTAGCTCTGTAGCCTATTTTTTAATTGGATTGTTCAGTATTTGATGTCTAGTTTCTTGAATTCTTTATATATTTTAGAGATCAGCCCTCTGTGAGATGTGGGGTTGGTGAAGATCTTTTCCCATTCTGTAGGCTGTCATTTTGTCTTATTGACTGTGTCCTTTGCCTTACAAAAGCTTCTCAGTTTTAGGAAAATCTGGTAGAATTCTGCGCTGAAATCATCTGGTTCTGGGCTTTTTTAGGTTGGGAGACTTTTAATGACTATTTCTATTTCCTTAGGGATTATTGGCCTATTTAAATAGTTTATCTTGTCTTGATTTAACTTAGTATGTGGTACCTATCCAGAAAATCATCCATTTCTTTCAGATTTTCTAATTTTGTGGAGTACGGGTTTTTGAAGTATGACTTGATGATTCTCTGGATTTTCTCATTGTTTGTTGTTATGTCTCCCTTTTCATTTCTGATTTTGGTAATTTGAATGCACTCTCTCTGCCTTTTGGTTAATTTGGATAAGGGCTTGTCTATCTTGTTGATTATCTCAAAGAAACAATTCTTTGTTTCATTGATTCTTTGTATTGTTCTCTTTGTTTCTATTTTATTGATTTCAGCCCTCAGTTTGATTATTTCCAGGTGTCTATTCCTCCTGGGTGAGTTTGCTTCTTTTTATTCCAAAGCTTTCAAGTGTGCTGTTAAGTAACTAGTGTGAGATTTCTCCATCTTCTTTATGTGGGCATTTAGTGCTATGAATTTTCCTGTTAGCACTGCTTTCATAGTGTCCCATAAGTTTGGGTATGTTGTACTTTCATTTTTACTGAATTCTAGAAAATCTGTAATTTCTTTATTTATTTCTTCCTTGACCCATTGGTGATTCAGTTGGCATTATTCAGTTTCCATGAAATTGTAGGCTTTCTGTAATTTTTGTGGTTGAAATCGAACTTTAAGCCATAGTGGTTTACTAAAATACAGGAGGTTATTCCAACTTTTTTATCTGTTGAGATTTGCTTCGTGACCGAGTATGTGGTAAATTTTAGAGAGGGTTCCATGGGGTGCTGAGAAGAAGGCATATTCTTTTGTGTTAGTGTGGAATGTTCTGTAGCTATCTATTAAGTCCATTTGAGTCATAATGTCTGTTAGTGCTCTTATTTTTCTGTTAAGTTTCTGTCTGGCAGACCTGTTCATTGGTGAGAGTGGGATGTTGAAATCTTCCTCTAGTAGTGTGTGGGGTTTGATATGCAATTTAAGCTTTAGTAATGTTTCTTTTACAAATGTGAGTGACCTTGTATTTGGGGCACAAATGTTCAGAATTGAGACTTTATTTTGGTGGACCTTTCCTGTGATGAGTATGTAATGTCCTTCCCGATCTCTTTCAATTAATTTTAGTTTGAAGTCTATTTTTATTAGATATTAGGATAGCTACACCAGCTTGCTTCTTAAGTCCATTTGATTGGAAAGTCTTTTCCAAGCCTTTTACTCTGAGGTAGTGTTTGTCTTTGAAGTTGAGGTGTGTTTTTTGTATGCAGCAGAAGGATGGATCTTTTGTACCCATTCTGTTATCCTGTTTTTTTTTATGGATGAATTGAGACCATTGATATTAATGGATATTAATGACCAGTGATTATTAATTCCTGTTATTTTTTGTTGGTAGTGTTGTTTGTGTGTTTCCCTTCTTTGATATTTGTTGATGTGGGATTATCTATTGCCTGTGTTTTCTTGGGTGTATCTAACTTCTTTAGTTTGGATTTTTCCTACTAGTGTTTTCTATAGGGCCGGATTTGTGGATAGATATTATTTAAATTTGGTTTTATTATGGAATATTTTGTTTACTCTGTCTATGGCGATTGAGAGTTTTGCTAGGTATAATAGTCTAGGTTGACATCCATGGTCTCTTCATGTCTCCATAACGTCTGTCCAGGACCTTCTGGCTTCAGAGTCTCCATTGAGAAGTCAGGTATTATTCTGATGGGTCTGCCTTTATATGTTACTTGGCCTTTTTCCTTTGCAGTTCTTAATATTTTTCTTTATTCTGTATGTTTAGTGGTTTGATTATTATGTGGTGAGGGGACTTTTTCTTTGGATCCAGTCTATTTGATGTTCTGTAAGCTTCTTGTATCTTCATAGGCATTTCCTTCTTAAGTTGGGAAAGTTTTCTTCTATGATTTTGTTAAATATATTTTCTGTGTCTTTGAGTTGGTATTCTCCTTCTTCTACGCCTATTATTCTTAGGTCTCATCTTTTCATGGTGTCTCAAATTTCCTGGACATTTTGTGTATGACTTTGTTGGCTTTAGTGTTTTCTTTGATTGAGAAATCTATTTCCTCTATTGTATCTTCAATGCCAGAGATTTTCTCTTGCATTCTGTTGGTTATGCTTGCATCTGTAGTTCCTGTTCATTTACTCAGATTTTCCATTTCCTTTATTCCCTCAGTTTGTGTCTTCTTTATTACCTCTATTTCAGTTTTCAAATCTTGAACTGTTTCCTTCACTTGTTTGATTGCTTTTTCTTGGTTTTCCTGGCTTTCTTTAAGGGATTTATTGATTTCTTTCATTTTTTTTATAGAAGATCAAAAAACCAAAGATAATGTTTATTACAACTTTAACTATAAATAACTAACATGAAAAAAAAAGGTCTTCTGCTCTGCTTTTGCTCCAACATCTAGGTCCTCTGTTCCTTGCCCTTTGGAGAAAACACTGCAGTGTAAGGCTGCCGTCTTTTGGGACGAGGGCAAAGATCAAGATCTTCCTTGATATAACCCCTTTCCAGACATGTCTGAGTAGAAGGAAAACCAACTTCCCAGAAATTCTCTGGAGTGCTGGGGGGAATGTAGCGGAACCGGTGTCGGGAGCAGGAAGCCAATTTCTTTTCTCTTTCTTCAGCTGGCATGTCTGCATAGTAAATTTCACATTCCTTACATGTGTGTCCAAGCAATTTTCTTCTCTCTTCTTTTTTCCGAACTACCTCAATATGAGGAAAATTCTGTATGGTACTTTCTCTCTCTTTGTCTTGAGAATATGGCTCCACAAATGCTCTCTGCTTGACTTTATCTTGTTGATCACCATGTACGTTTGGTTTCTTTGCGGCAGCAGACAATTCTTCCTCATCTGGTACTTGGGGGAAGCTATCTGCCAAACAGGATTCATATTCTTCATGTGTTGTCTGGTCAAACATTTCTTCTAAGCTATCATCCATTTTTATCTCTCCATTTGGAGTTTCTTCTTCCTGCTCTTGTTTCTTCATCTTTAAAAGCACGCTTTCACTGACCAACGTACAGTCCATGTCCACTGTTTCTCCTAATCGTGAATGGCTGCTACCCT